TCCGCTATTGTTCGTGGGCGTGGACCCATCCCCCCTCAGTCACATGACCCTCCCCATCAAGCCACGCCCACAGAACACGGTAACAAAAAAAATTGAATTTCTACCTATTTTCTGCCCAGGCCTGGCCTAATCTGTCAAAGGCCTCCTCCTGCATGCTGCCCGCTCTCCCTTCGTCAGTCCGGTTTCCACTCCTTCAGAGGCTCCGGCCCTAGCCCTGCTTCCTCCCCCATGACCGCCTTTTTCTTTGGGCATACCTTCCTCCTGCAGTGGCTGGTCCGGACTCCGGAAGGCAAGTTCTCTTTTTTGGTGCAACTCCCAGCCGCCACCCCTTTGCCAGCCATTTCCCAGCAGTGGCAGCTGGCTAGAGGCTGCTGAAAACTATCGGAGGTCTTGAATGCACTGAAAAAGCTGTTGCCGTCGCTTCTTTGTTATTCGCACCAGCTGTGCACATGCATCTTGTTGCCTGCTGTGCCGCTCCGCTCGGACTTGCCTGGGCAAGTCCCTCCAGCGCAGCAGGCAATGGGATGCACATACACGGCTGGCACAAAGAACAGGGTGGCGACGGCAGCCTCTTAAGGGCTAATTAATGAGGTCAATCAACTTATTTTTTTCTGTCCACTTAACACATAACTCTTCATGACTCAGTTAACTATGGTATGTTGTGCAAACCAGGCTGTTACAGTCATTAGGTCCATAATTGGAATGGAACAGAAATGAAAGGAAGGAGGGAAAGTACTTTCTTCTTTCGAATGATATTTCTGAAGAAAGCAGTATCATGAAATGGAAGGTCCATATCGTATATGCTAATGTTCTGATTTTTCCAACCTGTGCACATTTCACCAACCCCTTTTGAGTCCCACTGGCTTTGAAAGGCAAGTCTTAAGTGCTTCTGCCTTACAGTTACCAGATTGAGGACATATTTTTCTGAAGCACCTCATGTCATTTCCAGACAAGCTTCAGTGAAATAGCCATGCATGAGTGGGAAACAAAATATGTAATTAACCTAAAGGTTTTCTAATAGTCCGAACTGATGTTTTCTTAGAGAACATTAATAACTCTGGCTAAGTTTCAGGTTACAATGAGGTGCAGAACTACCTAACTGGAAGGTAATACCACGTTCCTAGGAAAATCGGAGCAAGCAGTATGGCATAAACCTCTTCATATGGAATATCGACTGTTTTCTAATTTCCTTTGGGCCACCTTGAAAGAAGGTATTTTAAATAACAGGTGACTTCAGGACAGTAGAAGTTGGGTCATTTCCATGGTCTCAGGGCAAAATATTTTAAGTTCCAAATGCACACTGCTTCTCTCTGATCCCATAAAAGCATTTGCAAGAATTGAGTTTATTAGGGAATTCACTGAAAAATAACCATAATTAAATATATGATGTATAGTGTCTGTGTGTGTTCTGCTGTGAATTATTCCTGAAATTATCTCACAGATGGCCCCCCATAATATCTGTCTTTTGTATGGATTTACTAGCCAAAAGGAACATAGGCAAGGATTTTCTCCTGTTTGAATTCTTTCATGCTTAATAAGATTTTATCTGTTGCAAAATTTATTTTCCCAAGTTCAGAGCATAGGCGATTTTTCTCCCCAGAGTGAGTGACCTGTGTTTAATTAGATTTTCTTCTCAGGAGAGACATTTATATGGCTTTTCTCCTGTATGGATTTGCTGGTGCTTATTTAGACAAGATTTCACCCGGAACCTCTTCCCGCAGTCTTCACACTCAAATGGCTTCTCACCTGTGTGGATCCTGTAGTGTCCATGTAGATGGGATTTGATGTTGAATCTTTTGCCGCA